ACTTAACTACCCACGTTTTTACAATATAAGAAATGTACGTGGATTTTCTACTATCAAGTTAAAAAGCTTCACTCAAATAGTTTTAATTTTAATAATAAATATAAAAAAATTTAAAAAAAATGTACAACCATATGTACATACTTCATCGAGCGACCTCTGATGGAGAATATTACTTGATGAAGTTTTAGCACATACACAAACCACTTATGAAGTAGCGAGTGATCGAGGAAACGAGTTTTAAATTAAATTAACGGTAATAGTTTAGCTTACAAACCAATATAAATATTCAAATAATTGGAATAAAAATAAAAATTTTAATAAAATAGTTCACAAATAAATAGTGCACAGATTGATTTACATTTAGAGTTAATTTGAGAGAAGAAATAACCAAAAAAAAAAAATCAATAATAAAAAAAATAAACAAAAAATAACAACAAAAGTTTAGCAGTTTCTAATGAGTGGTCCCAGAAAATTTGTAGAAATGCATTAGAAGCTCTTCTTCCTTACAGCCTACCGGTTAGAGACCACACCTTTGATCTATCTTGATTATTTGTATGCAGAACCTAATAATAAATATGGTATATGTGTATGTACATGTAAAGAATTTAGTAATTTTACTAAACTAAGCCCATTTATTTAGCAACTACTAAATGCATTACAACAACAAATAGCATTGTTTGTAGAATTTAGTTTCAGTGCAATTTGAGTAGAAAAATGCTCAAACTACATGCACATTAAGTGCTTATACTTGTATGTACAGGTGTACTCAGCAATTTAAGTCCTACACATACATAAATAAGGTAATGCAAGTACACTGCATTACAAAAATGGTGAGATCACGTTTTTCACCCACACTTCAAATTAGACAGTGGCATATCATCATGAAAAATATAAATATATATGCATACATGCAAAAGCGGCGAATACACTGAAAAAATTAATTATATTAAAATTAATTTAAATTAATTTTTTTTTTATTTTGTAAAAATCAAATTTCTTTTTGCAAATTTATTTATGTAATTAATTTTAAAATTCTATAATATTAATTTAGTGCGAATTACAACCATTTTTTATGAAATAAATCAAGAATAAATTATTTTTGTATTAGACTAGAGTTGATAATTGTGCAAACCCAAAAAAAAAATTATATAATAATAAAATAATACAAAATTTTGACTTCAGAAACTTTTTGCTTAAATAATCTTGGTATATCCCAAACACAATCAAAATCAAATTAAAATAACTGCGTTTTTTGAAAAAGTCGATGGGTTAATTCTTCATTGAAATCTCTACCTTCTTATGGTTAGAAAATTTTTACGAAAAAATGTTAAGTGTTCTCTGAAAATTCATAAAAATAAAATACTCTACTAAAGGATTTTATTCTTTACTTATCATTTTCACTTTTTACCATTTTCAAAGTCTTTTCAGCCCTGTTAAACAGTTACACTTCCTTATAATATAGTACATATATAAGATTTATCACATATTTTCAAAGCATTTGAGTGAATTATCTATTTTTTATATGTGTGTATATAATAATACTTGTAGTTTAACTATGTAATAGAAGTACACGATGAAGGAGACTTCATAAGACTTCTGAGCTATATTAATTCGCTTTTTGACTTGAATTTCCCTTCTTTTCTTTACTGTTACTATTCTCAGTAATTGCCTGTAACCAGCTCGTATTACCTGTGGTGCACTTGTTATTTGTTGCATTTAATATTCATTTTGACATTGACATGGTTATTAGCTGTCATATGCGATTTTCCGGGAGCGACTAATCTTTGTTAAGCATTAGAACAAAACAAGCTTTATGGAAAAATAAATAGTAATAAAAAAAAACATGTGACTTTACAGTTAAATATAAGTACATATGTATGTATTTCCGATGAAACACATTTTAAATGGAAATAATATTTAAATTTCAGCTATTTTGTAATTCACGTGTAAATAAATATATGCGTACAGATGTATGTATTTATGTACATATATATATATTTGTGTACATATAAAGTAGTTAATTCATTGTGCGCAATTTCATCCAAATCATTTTGCTCTATATTTAGCACATGAACACAGTTTGGACTGATGAGTAACAAATGACTGAGAAAGGTTGAAAACTGCAATCAAATGCATTAAATATTTACCTAAGTACATATGTACATATAATAATGCACATATGTACATATATACATACATATGTATTTATATATGTATATATAGTATAATAAATTGCACTGCCAAAAAATTTCACAATCCAACGCAACTATTTAGAAAATATCTGTCATGATTATTATTTCCAATTCTCAAAACCAATTAGTAGACATTATGATCATGAAAACTGAGCCTACTACGCAAGTAACATTGTAATATTTATTAATAAATTAAGTCACAGACCCCTCTCTTTCCTACTAGATTACCTAGTTAAGGGAAATTTGTAATAATCTGCAAGGTAATCTAATGAAAGGCTTAGATGGAGGGAGTTGATAATTAATAGTGTAATTTTTTGTGAGTCTGTAACGCACTGGAGTTATTTATAAATATACGATTTCTAGATGATTAAGAAATCTTCGATATTTTCCCGAACAAAATTGCAACTTGTGATATTTATTATTATAAGAAAAATCGTTAAGCAATCCGTTAAGAATATTAAACTATGTACAAGTATATTCTCGAAATGTTTTGTCTAATTGTACAAGTTTTTCCAAAAACAAATTGTGTTCAAATAAATGCTCAAAACAATTATATGAAAAGAACCAGAAACCTTACACAACACACAACATTTCAACTTGTAGAGATTTTCCTTATTTTCCCACGCCCGCAAATGTATGCTAACCCACACTAGCAGTGCAGCGGACATTGTACTACATCATGTGAAAGAATCCTGCGAGTCGCTCTCACAGTCACACAAACACTTGTGCATATGGACATACAACCGTTCTTTCTTGTACTTGGCAGCAGGAGCATGGGAAAATGTAGAAAATGTGAATGAACTCACAAACGTGATTATCAGCGAGCGCACTCGTCACTTTAGCCGCAGGACACCCACACACACGAACACACATGCAAGCTAAATGCTGTCGACCGGGATAATGTGTAGGAAAGCAAGTAAAGAGTGAGAGCCAACGACGAGTAGTGACGAATGTCGCGAATGCACTCAATTGTTGCGCAGTGAGTATTTTCCATTAATGTCGGCACATTGTTATTGTTTTCGGTTATATAAATATTACTCGTACTATTACTAGTACTATGCAACTTGGGTGCGTACTCGAAACTTCCGCTTCGGTAACAACAAAAAGCGCCACACAAGCTATTTCCTCATGGCGAATGGCAAGCGAACTATATCCTTTGAGTGTAAAAAGACATGACTATAGGCATGTGTATAAATAGACAATAGACAAGGTTTGAACTGCCTTGTGAGGTAGTAATGTTTTATAAATACACACGTATGCATGTTATACAAGTATGTATGAGTATTTGTAAAAGGCACTCAAATAAGGTGTGAGGTAAAGGACATTACTCACCATTTTGAAATCTTATGATGGACCAACGAATAAAATTTTTGCGTAATCCTTATTGAATATTGCTTGCTGATGTTGACATTTGCAAAACACCAAGGTTTGTTTCGTCGTTTTTTCAAGGTTTCAGGTATAGGTTTTAAATTTTTAATAGTGATAAAATTCAAAGTATTATTTGCCTTAGAATTTTTACATACAAAAGCACTTCACAAAATTATCACAAAACACATTTAACTAGAAAAATGTTATCAGTATGTCGCTTATTTTGGTTTCCTCCGTTGTTATTTGCGCTTATTTGCAACTGACATTAACAAAAATTCGATTTCCACTGATAACACAAGCAGTACACTAAACGTTTGTTTGTATATGTGCACATAGGTAAGTACAAGTATGTTTACATGTACGTTATGTACTAATTAATTAGAGCAATAACTGTTAATTGTTCATTGTTTTTATATAAAATGAAAATGTCACTTAACTTCACTGCCGCTACCTTTGCTATTTGTGACTTGCTGGCCTCACCATCAAATTGTGTCTATGCCGCTTTTAGTTGGTTTTGTAGTTTTTATTATTTTCTTATTTGAATGGGTTTGCGCAGCCGACTAGAACGTACTCGTACATGTTTGTAGAGTCACACAAACGCATTGCATATATTAAGTACATATTTGAAGGTAGGAGGGGTGATTCCATCATAGGCAATAGTAATGGCGCATATGGTGGTTGTAGAGGTAGTAGCTCACTACCTATAACGCTCATACTGCGCAGCTACAATTGAGAATTTGCGTGGCTCTAAATGGTAGACATTTTAAATTCGTATTATGCGAGAGTAGTGTGGGACATAGTTTTCACACGTGCCGGTTCGCTAATTTTTGTTTTGGTTTTTGTTTACTTGGCCCACACCACCACCCTCAGTTGCTCTCATCATACATACAAGATATTGCAAAATCGTTTTTCCATGCAAAAATGCGCTCATTTGTTTAGATCTGTATAATATTTCAATTTTATTTACATATTTTTTCGGATTACATAAATGTATTTTATTTTTTTTTTATACATTTCAGATTAGAAAGTTAGACGGCAGTAATTATAGGAACTAATTTCATGTGCTTATTTGAACTACATATTTATATAAATTTAAAAGCAACAAATTATTTTAAATTTGAGCATAACTAAATGCATGTGTGGTTTAATTCATTTTTAATTTATTCATTACTAACCCATTTTCATAAAAGTTTAAAAAGCGTGTAATTTATAAAGGCGTTGAAGACCAACATTAATTTTTCCCTTGGATTAGATATGGACAAACGAACTTCAGTAGTTATAAGTTATTGAATATTAAAAAGTAAAGTATACAGCCTGCTTTATAATATAATAACAAAAACAAATTTAAATATAAACACAGACAATAAACATGTAGAATTTTGCAACATACCTCAGTTCACTTTTGCAATTTTGCATATCGTTTTCCAAAAGCACCAACTTTTATTTATCACTTTTGTGATTCGAAGTAAGAAGTCGAATTTTTAAATGTCTTTGAATGAGTTCAACGGCACAATCGATGTAATCGATCTTAAATATATTAATTGCCGGGAGGTACGTCCGGTGTAACCCCTCAAGCATTTGGTTTCTATTCGTTTTATCACAATTTGTCAATTCTAACTCAAGTGCTCCACGAGGTGTCATTGACAACCAGTTGTCACGCGAGCTATTGGGGTTCCAAAGCACCACTTCACCACAAACTTCACAATATTGTCCAATTTTCAATTCAACGTCTGTGGTGACGAATTTAAATAAACGCAAATTTACTGTGCCTTCCGGTAGATTGCAGGCCCTTTAAAGAAAAAACATTAAATGTATTTTTTATAGAATAATTTCTACATGGATTAAATTATGAAAACCTGGGTAGTATTGATGATAAGTTGATATTTTCCAGTACGGGATAACCATTTTGGTGTTGATTCAATTTGCCGATCACAGTGCAACGTCCATGGTGTAATTTTAGAAAGTTTTTTTGTAGTACCAGCTCTTCTACTAAGAGAAATTTATGATAGAAACAATATTCTAGTAAATCAATACCTTCCATGCTTTCATTTAATTCATTTGCTTTAATTTCCGACATTGTGAAGATTACTATAACATGTAATAATTTATATTCTTTCCATTAGCATCTGAACAAAATATACAAAATAAAAGGCGCGAGAGCTCACATATGTACGCTTAAAATACCGGGGGTTTCAAATAACTTGAAATTTAAACTTTGTGTTAGTAAATTTATTAAAATAAAGAAAATGTATAAATATAAGAAGGTACATATTTGAAATGTAATCATATTCTTAAATTCTTTTTAGGTTGCGATTTTAAAAGAAATTGAGTAAATATAAATATTTTTGAGTACTGTTCATTATTACTTTTTAATATGCAAAGTATAACTAAACATAGCTAGGCGGAATGTCGTCAAAAGGAGAATGATAATCAGAGCAACCCTGACAGCGAGAATGTTAAGGAAGTGGCAGAAATTGAGAAAATTTGTACGTGAAAAGATCAAAATTGTCGCCGAAGTTGACGAAATCGAAAAAAAAGCGAAAACTTTGGTAATTTAAATGTGAAATTTGTGTGTTTTATGATTCGGTAATAGTTAAACTTATGTGCAGTAATAAAATATTTAATTGTTGAAAATCTAAATGTGAAAATACACTGAATTTGAAGTTGAAAATCGAAGAAAAGTTACCGAGGTTTTTTAATAGAAAGAGGTGCGAACTAGCTGGAATGCAAAGTGCAGCAGAGGCAATGTTCGGCAGTGGGTCCCAAACCCCCACCTCAAATTATACGAGTAGAGATTACTTGGTCGGTCGGTTAATGTGTTGCGAAAAAGTCGAATAATTGTGAGAGGAGTGGCGGCTACTACTGCGTATGGATGAGCTAGTTACGCGCAAAACGCATACAATTGAAGGACAGAATGTTGGCTGCCATTCTCAAAAGAAAAGTTGAAAGAATAAGTGGTTTTAACGAATTATATTAAAAAAAAGCGTAGTTTTGACGGTTGAAAGTGATTTGTCGTTGTGTGAATGAATTTAATTGGAATATGAAGTAAAAAGTATTTAGTATTTGTTCTTACAATTAAAAGTGAAAATCTTAATATCCTACTAATTACTTTAAAATTGAAATGAGTTTCCATATATATATTTATTAAAGTATATACCAAATTGAGTATATCATATCTTTTTTATGCAATCGCTTTCCATTTTTGCTATCTTCTTTATTCTATATTCTTTTTTGTGTCTGTTGCAAGATTTTCACGCGGCTGTTGGATTTATGTCAAATTGGAAACAACAACTATTCAAAGCTATACGGAGACGCAACAGAGGCAACAAAGACAGTGTCAACAGATTTATAGTGTGATAGAATGTTTACCCGCAAAATTGAATGGGTACTACATAGGAATCCTTTCAATTTTAAAGACATTTTGATTATATTATCAGTGTCGATTTTGTAATGGTTTAGATTTCATTATGTGAAGCAGTGCTGCTCTGCCGGCATTCCTATAATAATATTCCGATTACGAACTAGCCGCACAATCCGATAGTTGCGGCTATATTTGCTGCTGATTGTGTTGATGCAACAATCTGTTATTTCTGCAAGTACATTCTACTCTTCTTGTTTAGTTGTCTGAATCTTCGGGAGCGTTCGGTCTACTTTATTTGACTGAGTTCTGTACTGTTCAAATTCTTAGCATGGCCAGGGTTACCGTATGATTATTGCAGTTTAGTTTTAAAGAGCAAGATGAAATTTTTCCACACATCAAAACTTCAAACACTATTTATTTTGAAACATACATGTTTTTCAGCTTGTTAAAAACTAAAAGAATAATCGTAAATATAGCATATTATTTTGTAGCGGAAAGCAAAGAGTGTTGGCAGTACTTATTAATTAGATTGATTTCGGTGTGGATACCGATCGTAGTGGAGCTGCGCAGTTGCTCAGTTGCCACAGTCAAAGTAGCTATTTTCCCCATCTTCATAAGTGTTCTGCTTTATATCCATTTACACGAGTATTTCTGATACATTTTTGTTGATTGCATTTGGCTTATTGTATATAGTAACGAAGAGAATAGGCGAAAATAAATAGTGTGCATTAAAAAAGGAAACTCACTTGAATATTTTCAGAACAAATAGACTGAGGCAGGCAGCAATAATAACCGAGTATTCACGACTCAAAGTAATCAATACACTAAAAGCATTATGAACGAAATGGAAGTTGTAAAAAAAAAATATTTTGATATACAATGAAATTTGAAAAAGAATTGTATTTTTGGTTTGTAAAGGAAAGAGAAAAAATAAACGAGAAAGTGGTGGACGACATAGTCAGAAAGTAGAAGTGAAATAATTAGGATACGATCAAAATTGCGGAGTGTAAATCGGTGACTATAGCGATACGTAGGAAACAAAGCAATTCGAATCACAAGTGAAAGAGAAAAACGAAAAAATAACAAACAGAAAAAGCACCGGAAAAGAGGCATATGAAAGTTTAAACGCAGTGAAGTGAAAAGAAGAAATATGATAAAGCAAAATTGTGAAGAAAAGCTGTTATGTGCAATAAAGGTGCTGGCTCGGTAAACGAAGCAAAAAGATAGTACTAGATAGAGTGAAGTTATTATTTTTTTTTGTATTACATTGTGTGTGTGAGAAATTAAAGAAGGAAGCAAAGTAAATAAGAGCAAATGTGCAAGAAAGCAGAAAAGTTGATTAAATCGGGCAAAGTCAACTCTAAACGACAATTGAAAGCAACTAAAATACATACAAATATTAGTTTCGAAAAAAACAATATACAAGATCATAAATATTATTACCGAGTTTGAAAAGAAAACACAAGTTTGCTTAGTGCTTGTGAATATCAATTTACATTCATTGCAACTTAGTGCATATTTTTGATGCTTCCTGACAAGGGATATATAATAAACACGAAGCAAAAGTTAAAAAATACAAACAAAAATTTAAAACGTAACTTTAGTTAGTTTGCGCTTAAATTTGTTTCGCACCTGGACCACCACTTTTCCAATTTCTAGGCGGGATTGTCAGAAAGACAAACTGCCTTTTATTGACTGCCAAACAGTCTAACAGGTCAGGCGGTCGGCTCAACAAATTGAAGGAAGGATTGAGTGATCAATTCAAATTGCTGACCAAGTAAGGTCGATCTATTTGAAATTCAAAATATCGACTAGTAACAACAACAACGATTACGAAATTTGTGTAGCTGTAATAAAAAAAAAATTTCCAAAATGTCTTCTTTGGACGTGCGCAACAACTCGGCGGTGATGAAGCGAGCGGAGCAACTTAAGCGGTGGGAGGAATCAGACACAAATCGTCAACCACCAACACCACGTCCCGAGCGAGGACGCAAAATAAAATTCTCTTCAGGTTGTGTCTTTCTTGCAGCCTGTATGTCTGGCGATAAGGAGGAAGTGCTAAAGCTATTGGAAAGTGGTGCTGACATAAATACAGCTAATGTTGATGGATTAACTGCCCTACATCAGGTGAGATGAATAGAAACCTTTATTTTAAAAATAAATGGGGATTTAACCAATAGATTTTAAAAGAACTGGAGTCAAATTTGGTAATATTAGCTTATGCATTATGGTTTTAAAACTTAAGCCTCTTTCTCTTTAAATATTTAACATTTCTTTGCTAACTATTTGCATTTTAATATGCAAAATTGTATAGCTACCAAGAGAATCTATCATATACTCGTAAGTAGTATCCTATTTGCATCATATAGAACTAGACTATTTATGAAGACACGTGAATGTGCCTATTGCGTCAATACACCTCAAGTTTATTTCGAAAATTTACGCTGCCAAACAATATAATCCACCTATATCTGAAGACTTTCCTCACTCTTTCCTTTCGTGTAGCTACACAGGCCATAATTATCGCCGAACAAGCAGTTCGTCCGACCATAGGCTTTGGCGGCGTGAGCAACGTACAACCAAATGCCTTTGTACGCCATAGCCCTCAGCCACGGCAGAAAATTAACAAATTCGTTTCTAATGCAAACAGACGATTTACAAACCCACCAAAAAATAAAATCTATTTATAACTATGAAATTATTTAGCTGGTGTGTTTCTTCATATGGTGTATATAATTGTGCATGTACATACATCTATGTATGTCTATACATGCATGTATTTTTTTTTGCAAATCATTTACGTTTGCTCTAATGAATTGCATACACATTTGTATATGTTTTTTTTCTTCGATTTAGTGCGTACTTTTATATATTCTTTTCCACAATACTATGCAAATGTTGTTGCGTAGAAAATATAGCATACACGAACCTTAATTGATTCTTAGTTTTTAATTGTAATTAGTGGCTTAACCGAAAGAAAAAGAAAAAATAGAAGCGTTGCCACAATATCCACCCAACTTCTTGTCGTCGTAACAATTGTTGGAAAATATTTTTGTTGTATTATCATATGTTGATAAATATTATAAAATAAGTACCTTATTTAAAATTTTGAAAAATTATTATACAAATAGTTAAACTATATTCCATTTCTGAGTGCAAAGCTTGGCAAATTTTTATAAACAAAACAACCGAAATATTATTTAGAACAAAAAGTGCATACCAGATGTATGTAATATGTATTTATGAATATATGAAAATGTATACGCATTTAAGGCGAACTTTTACATTGTGTTAGTTTTTAGTAATTGATTCGTCGCTATATATAAAATATTAGGTTATGACTCTTCACTTTCAATTATTTTGAGCAACAAGCTTTTTGGCATGGAATCATTTTATAGCATTTACAAATATTACAAACAATCTGTCATACCTATATACATAAGTATTTACAAAACAAGCGCCTTGAAACTCGGTCGTTGAGCACCTCACAGATCTAAGTGACAATAACCTTTGTTTTCAATGACATGGCCAATGTTATTCTCTGCTGTCTAGAATTTAATTTAATAAAGAAATAAAATTCTGTATTTCACGCCAGAGCGAGTATAACTAAGTAAATCACAGTTATGCCATTGGCATTGCTAGAGACATCCAGTGTTTTTTCAATTTAAGTGGGTGGGTGGCGGCAGCCTTCGCGCAAGTGTGAGTCTGCTACTTGTGACTTTCACAGAATGTGTTCGCAAATTTACATACATATATACATATATATATGTATAAATGAATTTTTATTATTTTAGCTAAAATCGGTGAATAAATCGGCACTTGCATATGTACCATATGCTGACCTATTACTAGTACCTGGACTGTTTGACTGCGCACGTTCCTTTATTTCAAGTTAATTTTCATTTATTTGAATCCGTTTTATTAATTGCAGTAATTTTTCAGTATTATTTTAACATTTTGATGATTGTAGTTTTTCCTATATATTTCTATTTCACAAATAAATTGCCTATAAAAAAAAATAAATGGCAACATCAAACGTTTGTTGACGCGTTTTATAGCCTTGGCCTCGTTCTAGGCGATTTTCTATCACAAATCAAACATTTCACAGGAGGCAAAAGCTGCAGCCAGCGGCAACGCAACAACAATGCTCTTGACGAACACAATTACAGCTACAAAATAAATTATAAAAATAACAAAATTTCATACAAATTTAATTTGATTTGATTTCGTGTTTGTTAATTTTTTTTCTTGCGTTTTTTTTACTTATTGTGTAATTAGTGATTTGGTAATTTCGATGCCCATTATTTGCTTTGGTTATTGTTTTTATTTCAAATATATACATTTCTTTTTTATCTGTGGTTTAGCTTTACTACTAACAACTTATGTAAATTACAAAATCGTTTGTGAAATAAGTTTTGGGTTTTTCTTCAAGTTTAATATTTTTTTTTTATTTAAAATTATAATTGTAAGCCTTAAATACAGTGAGTGTGAGATATTGTATCGTATTTCATTGTTGAAGGTACCTTTTTCCTAATTTTTTACTATGAGTCCAAATAAAATAAAACAAAAATTAAAATGACAGGCAGCAACCAACTGTTTAGTGAAAATCAAAAACCAATCAGTGGCGTATAACGTACATTAATTCTATGAAGAGGCTGAACTAATTTTTTAGAAATTTTGGAATTACAATGTATTTGTTGTCAATTTTATTTATACTAATTCGTCCACACAGAGAAAATATTTTAATGAAAAAATATATATATATATATAATTATATATATGTATATATAATTAATTAAAAAAAAAAATAGTTTCATCAATTCTGCGAATAATAATAAAATTTTCCAATATCCTCTCTATTTGAGGATTTATTTTTTATATAAGGTGTGCAATTTAATTAAGCAAAACATTTGATTTTCTGTTGATCTGACATCAATAATTAGAATGTCAATTGAAGACACTAATTGCTATAACTAACATTAAACACAAATATCAAATTGCTAATCTTAAACATTGTTTTTTAAATATTTAAATTATATTTATAGTTTTTATAAATTGTATGATACCTGACATTAGAATAACAAAGAAGCAAATATAACCACAGTTAAAATATTTTATCATTGCCATATTTCCAAAAAAAAAATATCCATCATTTCAAAATTGATTTTTAACAAATCATGTGATTACATATTCCACTACTTTCTTTTATCGTGAAAGCAATACTTAACAAATTTTATTTGTTTAAAAATTTCTCCACCCCTTTTTTAACTTCAAGGCAACAGCAGTTCCATATTATTTGCTAAATACAAACTATTGTATCATTGTGAAAAATTTCGCAAATTTTATTTCTGATCTCAGTGAGTGTAGTACAACTTAGATAATGTGGCACAAGATTAACCAATGCTGCCATTTAATGTTATTTGTTCGTCTCGTGTATAACTTGGCGCTGAAAATGATGACGGCAAGCGAGCGAGCCGGCACATGCGTGTGTTATTTTTTATTTTAGAATACTAAAAATATGAAAACTTCTCAAAAATTCCAAGTTTTCAAAAAGAACAAACAATAATAAATACAATGAAAATTATATGGATGCAGAGAAGTTGGCAACAGTTGTCCAACGCGAAATCAGCGATCGTGAAGGCAATGATGGCGGCGATGATGCGGAAGCCAGAAGAATTTCACACATTGATGCGTAAAATATGAAGTTGTCGTTTCCCTTTTTTAAATTTTCCCCCCTAAAACACTTGCTACAATTCAACTAGCAGTCGTAGGCTCATTGTGAGCTCACAGAACACACCCGCACATCTTCTGTCCATCAGCCATGGAGAAGGACGTTCGTGCGCCATATGTACATCTGCTGAATGATTTTTTACTTAATCCAAAAATAAAACTCAAAATTGTTGCAAAAATTTTATTCATTTGGTGAGCAGGAAAATTTGTAGCAGCATACTGGAGGCTAACAAAACTATGTAAGCACATATACAATATAGTGAGCATACGCAATGCAGAAGCGTGCTTTTGGGTTGGCGAGCGAAAAGCGGCAAAAAGCGTCGAAAAGGCCACGCCTCAACAGCATGCGATGTGCCGCAATTAATGTTAATGGCTGTCTGTGTTTTTCTTTTTTATTATTTTTTTTTTGCGTTTTTCTCGACATGCGAATGGATGGATTAGTTGCCTTACATACTCGCACATGCTGGCGCAGCTCATTTGATTTTTATGTAGCTTGCTGTGCTTGAATGATATACGATTAGATAGCCGGTGCGCGTTCATCACTTCCTTGAGCAATGAAATTAATTCTATTCTAGATCACTATTGTTATATTGTGCATACACAAACTTGTATACTTTGTGTATCCATGCCATATTTTTTTATTAAATATACCACTACATTGTACAATAATTGATATTTGATATTATAATAAAAGCAGAAAATTACTGACATTTCCATCTCAAACTAGCAAGTTCTTTAATGAGCAATGTTGCCATCATTTTATAAACTCAACCTGATATTAATTTTTCATAATTTTATAATTCACAAAACACAAATAAAAATAATTAACTAGTATGAAAAGCAGAAATAATCCCATTTTCACCTTTGGGTACATATTTTTTATGGCTTCAGTATAGACTATGCAACGAGGTTTATTATTTGATTAACGCTTTATGTTCATTATTAAAAAAAAAAATCGCTGATTCATACTTGTACATACATAAATATGTGTATATAATCAGTTCCGCCTCAGTGCTTTTTCTAACTAATCTATTTTACCTCTGCATGGGCAACGGGTCAAGTTACGGTTCTCCAAACTACGTGATAGTTATCGATAACAACTGTAGTCAATAAATGTATAATGTGGTTACACAAAGTTTATATTTAAGCTGCAAACAATTTTTCAAAAGTTTTCAGTACTTTGCAAGCAGTGACTATTTTCCTAGTAGACATTTCTATTCCCATAAATATGAAAATAAATTATAAAGACACCTTTGAGAATAAGCGAATTACTCACCGAAAAATGTGGTTTGTTCCCATATAAATGGCCTCAACCAGAGACTTTTAAGGCATTAGCGTGCACTTTCTTCTTATGTTATTGTTTACATACCTACTCGTATATAAAAAATTTGGCTGCC